ATTTGGTTCACAGTTACGTGGATATTTTATACAAGTGTACATTTGGTTCACAGTTACTTGGATATTTTATACAAGTGTAAATGTATGAACACAAACTTCTTTTCTGCAAGTGCTCACATCAGGTTTTACACGCTCTCGCATTTTGCACCATATCTACCTTCATATGTTGCGCCAATGTCTCCAAATCATGGAAGAGAACCGAGTAGAACTCTTCACAGGGTTAATTAAAATCGAGATAACATAATTGTCAGAGTCTTCTAGGCGACACAGGAATTTCTACATTACATTTCTTAAAAGGGCTTGACAGGTAGGTACCTACAAGTGTTGTGTTTTTTCCGAGTCAGCCGAGTCCTTGCCTGGTGAGTCAGACGTCTCTGATTGTGTTTCTGTGCCTTACTGTAAGTGTGATTATGTGTGTAGGTGAGATGCCTGGCCGCGTCAACCACCACACCATCTTTTCTCCATGGATGCCCCAGAGCTACGGTTCAGTCAACAGCCAACAATCCATCGATTGAGCCGCAGAACAACAGCGAGTCATAAACAAACACAGGAGACCACACTGAGAGACAGAGTGGGGGTTGGGGGGGGGGGTTCAAGCAGCAAGAGAGAGCTTTGCTCACTGAGAGCAGAGGAATGTGTGCTCATCCACGTGTGTGACCTTTCTGCATCCTTAAAATCTGGGCGACGTTCACGTATGTGCATCATCATGACCCTGAATAACTGCTTTGAAGCCGATGCGTGTGACTCATGTTCCTGCTTTGATGTGATGTTCATTAATATCTCTGATGTGTGTGTTTGCCCTCCAGTGCTTTTATCTGTCTGTGCATCTAGGTGTGTTTTTGCACACATTGGATTGGAATTCATTGCTTATTTATTGCCACACTTTGCACCGAGCGTTGCTTTAAGACAGGAATCTTGCATGACCTCTCCACCTTATTCTCTCTACTGCTCGTCAACATCTCCCCCTCTTTCTCTCCGTCTGCAGTTCAGACAAGGACCACAGCCACGGCTACATTACTTAGCAATCCCGAGTTTAGATTAGCATACTGATTAGCTATCCTCGTAGCTTTCCCCTGCCCCCCCCCCTCCCCGAGCTCACAAGACGGGGTCTACAGCCTCATGAATACCTAATGGGAAACAAATGCATGCCTGAGAGCGTCCAGAGGAGGGAGCTAGTGCACAGAACACAATGCTTTTTATTTTCATTTTATAATGTAATCACAGGTTACTGAGGCATACTGTGCTTACAACACAATATGAGTGGTTAATTCATCTCTATGATAGCAGTCACTTTCTTTTACCACTTTCTTCTTCACCCTTCTCTTTTCTTTCCTCTCCTTCAAAATCTCCTTTTCATTAGTCACCCTCCTCCTGCCTTTTCCCCTTCCTTTCTTCTCTCCCTTTTGTTATCAAGGCATTAGTGAGCATATCAAGCCACCTCCTGCTCTCACCTCTTTCAATGCCACCACTTATATCCCTCCCTCACTCCACCACATCTCCCTCTCCCTCTCTCTATCCCTCGCCTCTTAAATCTCTCCTCTCTGAGAAGGGCCTGAGTGAGGATGGCAGATCGTGTGAAGTTGGATGTTGATTCTAGGTGACAGGCACCATATGAGTCATAGCCATAATCACAGACCCCCCCCCCCCTCCTCTTTTGACTGCACAACATAGCAGCACAGCAAAGCAAAAATTGCCCTTGGTACAAACAACAGTTATACAGTACACACCATGCATGGGGATGGTTGCAAATCGTACAGTATTTGTTTTTCTGCACTTTACATCACAACTAGTAAAACGCTCATATAACAATCCCATAATATAATTACCAAATGGGTAAAAATGTCAATTACGTTTTGCATAAAAGCAACACTGTAGTACATGTTATGAAGCATGTTCCAACCTATGTAGCCTATGTGTAATTATTGTAGGTGCAAAAGTGAATGCTATTTTACAGCCAATTTAAATTGGGTTGTGTCCATTATAAATATAAATATTGAACGAAACATGTATTGATGGCCAAAAAATAAAACAAAATGTATGAAAACATGTCAAACTGTAATGAAATTGTGTGAGAAAACAGTCAATTAAAGGTGATTTGTCTTCAAATAAATCAATAAGTCTTTATAAATAAGTTATTATGCGCCTGTTTTCAAATGATTCAAAAACAAGGATGACACATGTAAAGGTTCCAGCTTGTAAAATGAGAGAATTGGCTGACTTTCCTTTTCCTTTTTCAATTATAGTATTGAACATCTTTGGGGTGTAGACTGTCAACACCAAGACATTTGATGAGCCGAAGAAGAGGTTTCACTGAAATCCATTGGCAGCTTTCACTGATTATCACAAATTGATTTAAAAAACAACATGACTGGCAGATAAATCAGTAGCAGCAGATAGTAGTATCCCAAAATATAGAGACTTTGGAGAGTAAAGCATTTACTGTAAGTAAATATCCAAAAATATTCTAATTAAAAGTTAAACATATTATTTGGAAGTTCAATAAAGTGTGAAAACATATAAAAAATTGGACGATCTTGCATAATTTCTTGGATTCGGAAAACAAACGGTACGAGAAGAGGTGGGATAACAACCAAAAAGTGAACTGCAGAGAGATCAGAGAACTGGAATATATCAAAATCTGACCGAGCCAACTCAGCTTGTTGCTCTGATAACTTAAGATCCAGACGTCCGTGACTAAAATCCTTCATCCGGTTGAATATAGTTAAAAAAATTCCAATTGTATAGTATTAAAGTTCAAGAAAGGATGGTTTGCGGGGAAAAAAAACGGTCTTTTCTTCAATTCCTGTATGTTTTCATATCGCAATATGAGGGGGAAAATAATCGCAATGTCAGTTTTTTCCAATATCGTGCAGCCCTAGTGCCGTAGTCATCTTAACTCTTTACCAGGAAACAGACCCAATAATAATAGGCCGTTAATAAAAACGGGATAAAGAGGAAGATAATGAAAGAACATGTGCAACAAAGAGAAATGGAGAATGCATGAGGGACCTGATCATGAAATGATGATCAAGATACCAAATGATTACAACAAATAAATGAATGAGAGTAAAATAGGGAGGTTTGTAGCATAACAACTAAGGGTAAGTGGACCGAACCCCCTGCTGGGACATCCAAGGACACAAGTAGAGGAGAGGGTGAGATAAATATATAAAAGCTGAGGGGCCAAGGCCAAACAGAAATGGAAATGGGTGAGAAGAAAGCTCAAACATAAAGCAGTGAAATCATCAGAGCTGAAAGTACTGAGGACTGTCTGCGGGAAGACCACAAGCTGAGACAAGACACATTTAAAAGGGGAGAGCTATAAGACAGAGAAGCAACGGCCCTCAGATACTGTAGAAACAAAATAAAGATATGGATTGAACTATTTTTCTACACATGTCATACCTCAGATTAAAGCCTCACAAAGATAGCATTTCAAAAATAAAGCGATCCAAGAATTGTGAGCAGTACGGGTTCAAGAGTTTATGAAAGAGTGAACAACAGGAAATCAAAGAATCACTACTGCTCAGATCATTAACTCCCAGAAAGGGTGAGGTGGTGGAGGTCCTTGGTGGGGGGGCTCAAAGACTGCTGACTGAAACAAACATCCAAGCTCCATTGATTGGACACAAGCAGAAGATCAATCAACAGGGCCAAAGGCACCGTAAAGGAAGAAAGAGCCCCCCCATATAGAGAAGCGTTCACTCTATTAACACTGGCGCCTGTTTGATTACGAAGCAAACTCAATATCCTCCTCATTGTAGGAGTAAACATAAGTAATGTATTCATTTCTATAATCACCAGCATAGTTAATGTGCTCGAAAAATATATTAATCATTACCTCAGCGACTAATGAAATACCTCAGGTTTTTTATATATATATATATACAAATGGAATTTGTACATAGCCTGTTTTATTCACACGTAGCAGACTGGAGAGCGTGGACAGTGTGCCAGCTGGATATCGCCTCAAAAGTGAGTCAGAGATAGGAAGCGAGAAGGTGTGAGGGTGCTAGGGAACGGAAAAATGAAAAGACATCGTCACAGCCAGAGAAGTAGACCTCAGAAAGATTGTGTGACCATGTATGTGCTTCCATATATGTGTTTATCCTCAGGCAATTGCCGCTTGGAGTATAAGATTTGTCGAAGTCGAAGAGCTTTGTCAGATTGATTTAAAGTCTGTTTTTTTTTATATTTGTGTGGATTCTTTATGTCCTGCAACCAGTGTTCAGTGCAGAGACAATATGACAGATGCATGAGTGTGTCACCTCGGTAAGTGAGTCTGACAGTAACACACCCCTAAGGACTGTGTGTGTGTGTGTGTGTGTGTGTGTGTGTGTGTGTGTGTGTGTGTGTGTGTGTGTGTGTGTGTGTGTGTGAGAGAGAGAGAGAGAGAGAGAGAGAGATACATAGATAAATAAAGGGAGCCTTAATTAAGCCTTTGAGACACCAGAGCTCAACTTTTGTCCAAAAAAAAAGTGTTTCCGTAATGCCCATTTCCTTCTTATCTAATCGCCCCCCCCTCTTCCCTTCCTTTCCTGTCTTTTTGCATGAGTGAGAGCACGCGGGTTGAAGGGAAGGGAATACATGGGAGTTGGTGTGTGTTTCCAATAATAACTGCCTAGAAACAGAAAAACAATACCACTAGTGAGATCGATACCATTGCCATTAATATGGTGCCCCAACCCCCTCCCTTGCTGCGCACCAGCGACATTCACCCAAATGTCCGATACGTGTGGTCCAACACTGAGCGCCACCGGGACTTACCGCAGTAGATGAGCAGCAGCGCGGTCAGAAGCACCACTGCCCAGAAAGTTGACGACATTTTCGGCCAGTGACCGGCATCTTTGCGCCTCGCCGACCTGGACACTGAAGCCATTGAATAAACGGTGCACTTCCTCTTCGAAGAGACGGATAATGATAATAAATTTTAAAAAAAAAGGCAAAAGGTGGTAATCTCACAATCCAGTTCGGCCTCTCACAATGCTCATTGGTCCGCGTGTAATCCCACAAAAAGACATGTCAAGACGGAGCAAGTGGCAGAAAAGCGCTGATTTGCTCCTTGCGCAAAAGAAAAAAGGTCTCATCCTCCTCATGAGTCGGAAATAATTGCGGTTTTTTATTTCAATTCGTGCAGAAACTCGAGTTAGTTGTCCCAAAGTTAGCGTCAGTATCTCCTTTAACTCGGTAAAAAAGAAGCTCGGAGCGTTGAGTCACCGCTCAAAGTGTTCGATCAGCTGTACCGCAGCGTCGTAAAAACCTCCTTTACCTGTGGTATGGTTTCATCGATTCTCTCCAGACTCACCAGCCCAGCAGCATAGCCCCCCAGAAAACCGAGTGGTCCTGTAAAATCCGCTCAGTAAACGTCTGGATGGATGGTAGACAAAAAAAGAGGGGGGAAAGTCCTTTAAGCTCTCGGTTTTGGTAACCAAGTAGCTGAGGATCACAGCATGCTTGCAGGAGGGGACGGAGGAAGGAGAGTGGATGGGTAGAGAAAGGCTGTGGGAGGAAAAGTGCGCACTGTGCGACCAAGAGAATTTTTTTCAAAGTGAAACACTCAGATAATCGATATTACGTCAGCAATGAGCAACTTCAGGTGCTGGAATATTATCCTGTCTAAAAAAACGTGTTATATAATTTTAAAAAAACAGCGTGAATCACGGTTTAATGTGGTTTTTCTTTTGGAGTTAGATTTTTGAATTGAGAGTGGCTGAGTGATATTTAACCACTCAGCCTTCAATAAGAGCCACGTCATTCACATAATGTTTAAGTGATTTTCTTTGTATCCTGTAGCAATAAAATATCACTAGTGCACTTATTTTTACACACATCGACAATTTAAAAGGAAATCAATTCCATACATGTATGTCATGTGTGACTGAATTGTTAAAAGCTGCCATGAACAGCACAAGCTTTGAAAAAAATATATGCGCATTATTTGAAGGAATATTTAAAACCTACTCTGTAAAGAGTGAGGAAAATATAAAAAGGTAACTTTTTTCACATGCTTTTTTATACTTTCGATGGGATTATATGTATTTATTATCTTATTGCTTTCCTTGTTTAAGATTTAAAAAAAAGAAACATATATGGAATTTTAGTAGTTTTGATAAAAGTATCAGCTATTTAACATCTTATGCAATATATGATGTTATCAAATATGATTCATCGTAGCCCCAAGTTGTCCAAAAAAAAAGTATTTTTTACAGTTTTCAGGGTACATTATATGCTAATGTTTAGGTTCACGCTTGAGTTTTCTGCATCTACTAAAACATGTTAACATCCTTTTATATTCAAGAACACAATATCTCATAAGGTCTGTCGGTCTTTCCCCTGTGTCTTAAATGCTTCCTTTTAACACCAATCCACCCTCCAGAAACAGTCCAGTCTGTTCTGATCGGCTTGTGAGAAAAATGACAAAAGTAGTGTTGAACCGCCGGTGGAGATACTCACATTGGGGAAGGGGGGGTATCGTACAGTAGACACTCTTTTGTGTATGTGCTAAAACACCCAAAAAACTAAAATTGTACCTAATATTTCCCATTTAAAGGGGACATATCATGCTATATTTGAACAATATATTGTAGGGCCATACCTATATAAAGTATATAAATATAGTTTTTTTTTCAAAATGCCAAACAGATCCTGCATTTTAGCCATGCCTCATTTCGCTCTATTTCCTCTTTCCAGCGCTGTTTTTGCAGGGGGCTGATTCTGTGAGCTGCAGCTGACCACGCCCCCTTGCAGGAGAGGGGAGCGTGCTCTGAGATCAGCTGCTGGGCTGCAGCGGGGAGAAGGGAAGAAAAAGAGATTTCTCCGTTCCTCCGTGTTTTTTATTCTTTAGAGAGT